TTTTTTTTTTTTTTTTTTACTACAAATTGCCACTATTCATATTTTCAAAGTGGTATATTATAACTTTAAAATGTGCTTTTCCCTTTAACTGGATCGTTATCACAAAAAAAAAAAAATAAGCTCTATAACATGAAAATAGGCATGAATTGCATCATCACAACTTCAAACTTCTACACTGTAGTTTTGGGCTATGTCTCTTCCTTTTTCTGTTCAAGACTACCAATGATTTACCTTACAGATTTTCTCTGTGTATTGATTACAGAGCAAGGACACTGAACTTGAAAAATGTAAAAGAAATGGAATATAAATACAAAATAGAAGATAATTGTGTAAGTGAAATTATCTTTTTTTGGTGTGTGTTCCACTAATCCAGATTTGTTTATTTTCTCTTGTTCATTACCAGATTGTAATCAGTGAATCAAGGGAATGTTTTTATGAAATGCTCACTTGAAATCTAAAACCAGTATGACATAGTAAATACAAAACCAGTCTGGGCATCAGAAATTGGAATATTTTCCTGGTTCTGCTGCTGGTCTGCAACGTGAAGTTAGGCAAGTCCTCTTAGATCTGTCTATCCTAGTTTATTTGTTACTTTTAAGTTAGGAACTGCTCTTTGTAAAAGTTTACTAATTCCTAAGTCTAAGAAGATCTCTTGGCAGCAAGGGCAAAGTCCATCTGAGCAGATGATAGCTGTCTATATTCTTATCAAATTTCCTCATTTCCTGAAAGTCCTTTCATACTCTCATCACCCACAATCTCTTTTCTAACCCCATTTCTGCCAGGAGACCCTTGTGACCGGACTGTCCCAGAGGACACCATGTGCAGCGAGGGAGGGAGGGCCAGCAGCGTGAGGTTGTTCACACATCTCACCGCCCTGTACTCAAACAAGGATACCCTCTTGTGAAAAATGGATGGAAGAATCTCTCTGAAAGACTGTGCTTTTAAAATTTGGCCCAAACCTACCAATCAGAGATTTTAAATTATTTCAGTTATTTTCATTGCAATTATCATCAAAGTTGCTTGTGATAAGGCCTATGGTAAGAAGAGAAGGGCAATGACCCAGAGAGGTGAACTCCCTCCTCCGAGTCGAAGCTGTAGGTTAGCAGCCAAGAGACAAGTAGAACCATGTGCCCTTTCGGCACAGAGTCCTTTCACTAGGACTTCTCCATCATGGCAGTTTCTACTATGTCCTCTTTCCTAATGAAGAGTCTTATGTATCAGTAAGCAACATGGTCAGCAGTTATTGCTTCACCATTAAGAAGCTCTTCTCTAAAGAATTTATTTTTCCTGGCAAATGTTTTCCATCAGACCTATCTTGGGCTCAAAATCTGAACGTGGCTCAGGAGAGTTTACTGTTTTGGCATGCTGAACAATGCTGGAATGTGAAAGGCAGATGAGAATGGGGAGGACTCTGAAATGTGAATTAAGAACACAGTCGTTGAGACTGGCCCAGCTGTCAATTATTATATCACTTTTCATTCTTAAGAAAAATGTTAGGGTAACTTTGTCAGAGATACAGAGATAGCAAACCAAAATTTGATTTGCCTGCTTTTTTTGTATCAGCTTATACAATATTTTGTACAAATCCCTATGCATCTTTTTTTTTTTTTCAGTTAAGTGCTCCCCTGCCTTTTTTTCCTTAATCATTAAGATTAATGCCAGTAACCTAGTAATAACAAAGTAGTGTCTGCAGACAGTGGGGAAAATAACATTTTGTCAAAAACACAAATTGCACAAGAACTTATTATACAAAACAAAGAAGGAAAATATTTTTAAGATTCAGAAAAATGTCTTTAATTGAATTTAGAGTCACTGCGTTGCAGCAGGCATTTAGGGTAATTTTTAATGTATGAATGTTAGACTGATCCAAATTCCCCTGGTAAATAACAGCTTAGGCATAAACAACGTTACTTTTAAACATGAAAATATGTAAGCTTAATGATCTACCCTGCCATTAAAGTCTGTGGATTTATAGAGGTTATTTCATCAATAGGAGAAAAGACACTTTAATGTGGAAAAAGTGAAGAGGGTATTTAGAAGCTTATGTGAAACACATTGCATCACAGGCGTTCCCTGAACTGAATTCTTACCCAAGTGGAGACAGTGCTTTATAGAGTACACGAGGCGATTGCCAGTAAGCAACAGCAGTGACAGGCCACCTGAGATAGTTTTCTTTCTTTCTTGGCAAGAACACGACAAAGAGGAAGTCCATTTTTCTCTGAATATTTCTTGTTAAGAAAGGAGCTAGAACCAAACCAGAGCCAGGATTAACTGAGCCAAATTTGACACAACTGTCCTTGCTTGTCCTGGAAAAAAGATTGTACTGAAGTCTGCCATCTGCTTCATTTGACCTTATGATTTAAGCCTTTCACATTTTCTGCCTTGTATTTTTGGAAGCTTATTAGCTTGTTGATCATCACAAGCTTTGATCTTTGCACCTCAGTCTTCCTTTTTCTTAGTTTTCATCTTCCACTTTGCTCGTTCTGGTACTGCACCAAAGTGTTCACTTGTCTCCACACGAAGCTGTGTACAGCATCTCTTTTAAGGGAATCTGTGGGATGTCAGAGCATATTGCCCTCTGTTTCACCCTTATTTTAGAGTTATCTTTCATATAATCTTAATTGCCGGTCAGGCAAAGCCTGACCGAGGTATGTCGGTGATGTGATATTTACCACAATCCCATTCACAGGTAAATTGCATAAAGTCCCTGTATGTAGTATGAGGTTCATTGCCTCAGTTTTGGGTGTTTGAAATGTTTCCTTAGTCTGTATGATGGTTTCTGTGGTGTTATCCGAAAGATCATCTGATTCCCAGAATGCTGAATAGCAGTATACAAGAAGAATATAGTTTGTGTGGTTTGTGGTGAAGACTTCCATTCCTGTTTTGCTTGAAGTTTTGTTGGGAAAACTGTGTACCTTCAATGTGATTCCATGTTTTTCTGAACTACTTAAAAAATGGTCTGTGTGTCAGCTCCACTTACTTGTGTTTGAGTGTGACCTTGTTATATATCTCACTTCTGAGAGGAGGAATAGAGGCTTTTTGAATGTACATTCTCTTGTGAATTCTTCGTTCTTACTTCCTGTTATCCATTGTCACAAGCAGCTCATTTTTGAGAGCTGATACTCACATAAATCATATATTTAATTTTGGTAGTAAATGGATATTTTCTGTATCCAGACCCTTTATGGCACTTAGTGATAGGACACTTTATTGCATATAGCAGTCTTGTGGACTGAAATCCTTTTGGAGAACTTATTGGAATCAGATCTGTGGATCAGCCCTCATGGTCTACTGCTGTCCTGCTGAGGTGTTCTCAGTTGCAGTGTTTGTCCATTAAAATCTCATCCTGTTTTCATTCTTCTAAAGTGGACAAAATTTTTTATAAGACTGTCAAAGCTGACACCCAGCAATACCATGATTTGCACGTGAAAATAACTAGTGGGGACCATTGCTGTGCAATGCTCAGGTTGAGCATTGAAGGATCCTCTTTTCATCTCACCTGGAAGGAGAAATGCTCTGAACTTCCACTTCCAGAGATCCCCAGCTTCCATAAAAGACACACCTGAAAGGCAAATGATCTTATTGTTTTTTGGCAACTGTCGCTTCTGAGCAGTGTTATTGTGGCTATTTAAGAATCTCTAGTGACATGTATGCCTGTCAGGTAGAAAATGTTGGTAACTTTTACAGGCCATGCATGATCCTGCTTATTTCTGTTTACAATACTAGGTGCATAAAAGCTTAGTACAGTAATTTGCTGGAATATCCATAAAGAACTTTGTAAGTAGATGTAGTATCTTTTACTAGATCAAATGGTACAACTGGAAAAAGTGGAAGACCCTAATGGCCGACAGACTTTTAATCAAGTCCGAAATAGAAGCAGCAGAAACCAAATCAGCTGAGAGCAATTGCTCCACATTGAATTTGATCTGTCTCTGGTCTAATTTTCCTAAGGAAAAGAGAGACATGGTTCATAACCTGTGGAAAATGGAGAGCTTGGTAAAATAGATATTCCCTGCCTGCAGACCTTGTCTTTACTACATTTGGGGATCATACCAACTGAAACAGTGCTACTGTTATTTGCCAGATAATGGTCCTTAGTATTGTGCATCATAACTAATATGGTTTTATTTTCACGTTAACTTGAATTAAGGATAATTTTCCTTATAGGTTACTTACATTTCCCTTTTTACTTCAGTTGTGTGTGGTGACTGATCAAGAGAGTAATATCTTAAATCATTATCACAAACCAAAGCTCCTTCTAGGGTGATTTACTGGAATTTTCAGGATTTTTAAAGAAATAACTTTGTTTTTTAATTTCCAAACCCAAGATAATCTTCTCAGTATTTTGTTTATTTTATTCCATAGGAATCATTAAAACAGGTAAAGATAGTTTCAGTCAACAACCCGTTAGTCTTTCTGAACGCCAGGAAATTTCATGCTGACCTGATAAATATAATCCAGGAGGATAGCATGAGCAGCCAAGCATGTGAAGATGTAAACAAGGTAGGATGTGCTATATGCTTCAGTAATCATGGTGACGGTGTTGAAGACCATAATTGCTTGCCTTGCATTTTTCAGAGAATGCAATCAGATACTGAAACAGATATAAAAAGGTAATATATCAAATTATTAATTTAGGATAGAATAAAGTTAATATTAATCTTAATCAGATTCAATGTGGATTGTTTTCTTATTATTTTAAAATAATATCTCTATTATTACTATATATGATCCGGTAAAAGACATTAAAGCACTGATTTAAAGCTCTTCAAAACATCTAGCAGAACTTACATAACCTCACCTAATATAAGGTTATGATTTTAAAAAGACAATGAGTAGCTACAAATCTACTTCAATAAAATGTGAGGTTTTTGCTGGAGGTGAGTCCATGAGAGAGAAACACTTCATTTTTTGTTTCTAACTATAAATAATTCCAGGAGAATTGGGAAGAAGGTACAAAGTGGCTAAAGTTTTTCTTAAAGGTAGTGGTATTTTTTCCATTTTCTGCACTTATTGTATTGGAAAAATAAACAGTATAAAATTATGTATAACTTGGTTTTGAAGAACATCTCCTTAAGTACAGTATTTTTTACGTTTATCTGCATGTAACTACTGCAACTTCTTCCAGTGCTCCCTAAAATGGAAAAAAAGTCTTATTATTTTTTATCATTACAATGAAGACATTCCAATACTGTACAATGCTTACTGTGGGCAATTTCATCCAGTTTGGCAAATTGGGCTGAGAAAATCACAGTTATTTCCTAGATGAGTTACTAAGACAACATTCAACAAGGTGTGTCCACCACCACCTCTCCTGTCTCTTGCCAAAAAGCTGCGCTGCTCATACCTCCTTTGATGAGTGGCTTCTCCTTGTTGTGCAGAAATTCAGCTCAGAAACTGTGCTTCTTTTTTTCCTTGGTTGTGCTAAGCTAACTGATTTGGATTAGTATGATAACAAACCCCAATTAGAGAGAAATTACTTAGAATTTGCATGGAAGTAATTTACAAGTTAATTTAATAAGTGTAACAAGCTAATACATTAATTTAATAAGTTAATTTTAAGTTAATTCTAAGTTACTTAGGAGGGAGATTTTATCCTTTGTCTCTTCTGTAAGGTACTTGGCAGTGCAGCTGCCTGAAATACTGTGCCTAATTTTTTTTTTTTTTTTTTGGTGGAATAAAGGTCTTTTTGTAGCACAGAATGGGAGTGAAAGAAAATTGCACTTTAGATTTTATTTCAGTGCTGTATTTCTGGTTTTAACTCATATTTCTACTGAGAACTTAACATTCATATTGAAATAATTACAAAAAAAAATCTCCAGATAAAGATAATTCTTTATCTATATCTTGCAGGTCAGAAATGTTTTCATTAAAATATTTGCATAGAATCACAGAATCATAGAATCATTAAGGTTGGAAAAGACCTCAAGGATCATCAAGTCCAACCCAACACCACCTAACTCATTAAACCATGTCCCTAAGCACCACATCTACACGTTTCTTGAACCCCTCCAGGTCTGGTGACTCCACCACTTCCCTGGGCAGCCTGTTCCAATGTCTGACCACTCTTTCAGTGAAGAAATTTTTCCTAATATCCAGCCTAAACCTCCCCTGGTGCAACTTGAGGCCATTTTCTCCTGTCCTATCACTTGTTACTTTAGGGAAGAGCCCAGCACCCACCTCACTACACCCTCCTTTCAGGCAGCTGTAGAGAGTGATAAGGTCTCCTCTCAGCCTCCTCTTCTCCAGACTAAACCCCCCCAGCTCCCTCAGCCGCTCCTCGTCAGACCTGTGCTCCAGACCCTTCACCAGCTTTGTTGCCCTTCTCCGGACTCGCTCCAGCACCTCAATGTCCTTCTGGTGGTGAGGGGCCCAAAATGGAACACGGGATTCAAGGTGCGGCCTCACTAGTGCTGAGTACAGGGGCACATCTTTCCCATCTTTAGACAACTTCTTAACCAATCCTTTCTTCCCCACAAGCATCATGTTCCTAATATGCTTTCTGGTGGATCCAGACATGACAGAGGTTGAGTCATCTAGAAAGAAAAAGGAGATATCAGTTTGGTGTAACTTTAGAATACTGAGAGACATACTCATCAAATACTAGGTATCCAATAGGTTGTTGCATACAATATGATTTTGGAGAGAAGTAGTAAACTTTGACATTGAGAAACAGAATTCTTATGTATTGCATTGATTTTCTCTGGTTACTATGCATTGGACTAGTTTTTCTTGTTACGTTAATAGTTTGTTGTTTTTATTTCAGTGTGAGCAGAACACAATGCTCTGTTCATTTTCCAATGGAAGTTGTCACGGTGAGTTTATTATCTATAAATGACATTAAAACCAAGATGGATATAAGTGTGCAAAATGACTCCACACTTTTCTGTTTATTTCTATGTCAACTCAAGTTGTCTAGAGACTGGTATTTTCAGTTGGACCAAAAAGTCAATGAATCATGAGTGCTGAAAAGTGTTAAACTCTGTTAACCTTGGCTGAACAGGTCCTACTTTTCTTCTGTTCTTGACTGACTTTTTAGAATTTCAGAAGTGGGGAACCCTTGAAAATCCCTTTTCTGCAAGAGTCCCTGCCTATTTCCCATGAGCCACCGTGTGCATACCGAGACGGATACACAGTGAGGAGAACCACCTCCCGCGTTACTGCTTGGGCTGGTCTTCAGACAAAGGCCTAAGAGTCTGTTTCGCTAAGCTCTGGTCTTGTTTTTTTACATTCACAGTGGGACTTGAATATTAGTATGCAAAAGTGAAAATAGGATATGATTAGAGCCATATTAAATCTTTGTGATTTTTAAAGCTATTTAGGAGAAAATCTCAGAAAACATCAACTGAATTATCAGTGACACTCTGGCCACCAATATTGTACTGTATATCAAGAGGAGAGAATTAAAAAAAAAACCTAAGGGTTTGTTTTCAATTAGGTATTAAGCCGGTTAATTCCACTCTTCCCACATTTTACAACACTTAAATCAAACCAGAGGACATCCATTCCCGTAGGAGAGCTGCAGCAACCTTTTGCAGAAGATATTTTATACAGATTACTTCACTGTGCATGGAATTAAAATATTGTGTTTATTTAAAACACTTGCAAACATTAAGGCCACAGTAGAGAATCTGATTTGGGGGCTGTTTCTGAATGTTTACATTTATTAACTAGTGTAATGACATTTTTCTGATACTACAGTGTTTAGTTTACTTGGGGGTGACAGAGTGCTTTGCTCTAACACATAGCAACGTGATGATAATGGCTACCAAAGGCTATACAGAGCTATACCATGAAATGCTAAAAGATTGCAATATGTGAGGAGATTTTTAGAAGGTCTTAACAGTACATATTTCATTCTTCTTTTGGATGAACTGGTTTCTCATGTTACAGAAGTTACAAACAGCACAAGATCTTTTCTGATTGCTTAAGTCCTGCCTTGAGGACTTAAATGTTCTAGTTTTCCTTGTACCAACCAGTCTGTGAGCTTTAAAATAAAAACCAAGAGAAAAAAGAAAAAATCCCTATAAAAAGGAAAACAAAACACAGGGCTTAAATTATTATGAAAGAGGGGAGCAGGAAGACATAATCCTTAATCCTTATGGCAGTTGTCCTGGAAGGCGCAGTGATATACATCTTTGTCAAAAAGTTTCCTTCCTCCTTCTGGGGAGTACCAACTTGCCATTGGTCTGTATCAGCACCAAAGTAAACAGCAGCTGTTGCCCTTGGCAGTGGTTCAGAGAGGGAGCAGGTCTGTACCTACCCTCCCTTCAGAAGCCAGGCAGCCTCTACTGCAATGCAGGGTGCCAGCTGGGTGGGAAGGTAGCATGATTATCAGGGAGAAAGAGTAAGTTCTTTGGTTTCAGAGGCAGAGGAGGTGCTTAGAAAAGATTATAGTGAGCAGCCTAACAGATCTCATAAATCCTTTCTGAGTTTTCATCAGAATGATATCAGGCAGGAGGTTCCATTTGAAATCCTGTATTTTTGTTTGGTATGTATCTGTTAATGTACGTTGGACAGTACAAAGAGAGTAAATCTCTGAGGGTCCAAGTCCAAAAGGCTCTGGCTCTTAGACTACTGTCAGAAAGGAATTAGCAATGTTATAAGTCTACACCAAGGGGAAATTCTAAGTCCCCTCAAGGATTTAAAATCTTTTCCTCTGCTCTGTCAAAACCATTTAGCTTAACCCACGTTCACATGCAGAATATATTTCCTTTCCTTCATCTTTTTTTTGTTTTGTACATTATAACTAACATTTATTCACAGAGCAATGTAAATAAGATGTGCATTATTTTCTAGTTTTCCATTTATGAAAGCCAGGAATCATTTATCTACGTGCTAGTTCAGGATGCATTTAGGAATTCAGGACTGTGAAAGCAGTCCTGAAGCACAGGATGGCCTGAGGTTGAAGAGTGAGTATAAGATGTTCGCAAATCATACCAACATCTTTTTTTCTCCAGCATCAATATGTGATTGTATATAAAATTTAACCAAAAACAACACAGTAAAACCTTAGGAAAATAAAGCATTCCACTTTACATATTTTTCTTCCTTATAGGAGTATATTAGTTATGCCATAGGCAGGCATTTAGGTACTAAAGGAATGGATGTCTTATCAGAACTTAAGAGAAAGATATATACTCTGTGTATCACATGTAAATTCTTCCAAACAAGCCAAGATATTATCCTGACTCATTTAGAAATTCAAATCTGAAGAAGCAATTATTTGATTCTTGAGAAACTACTCCTGTCTAAAACATCTCACTTATAATATGTTCTCCCTGTCATCACTTCATCCTATTGCTCTGAAGATCCTTAATTTGTGCTTCTGAAATGTGTCATTTTTTTGACTGATACCCCAGTGCATAATAGTAAAAATTTTATTGTGGTATTTTGGGCTTGTTTTATTGAACTACCATCATCTGTACACACTCGTCTTGACTATTCTCCCTTTTAATTAAAGTTTTTCATTTATCAAATGTGTAGGTGAGTCGTTGCAGTCATGTCACAGTGAGCGACGTGTTTTGATATTAGACTGCAGTGGACTGAATTTCTTTGACTACACGGGAGTCTCAGTGCTGCTTCAGGTATTCATGACACCAGACAAATTCTGTACATAGAATATAATTACACACACAAGTTATTGGGGCCAGCGACTAGTCACCTCACCTGTATCAGTGGTTAAATGTCACTCATGGAAAAGATGAATACAGATTTGGCATTAAACTCCACTGTGTTTATGTATTAAATTATATTAAAAATAATTCTACAGATTTTGGGTAACATTCAGTGCAAATGTAAGTATCTCTATGAAACGGAGATGAGTTTCTGTCTTTTTTTTTTTTTTTTTAATTTTAAAGCTGTTTTAGGCCATATTTAACCCTGTCATGTCAGTTATGTCAGTTGCAGTGGAGCCATGTCTGGATTTACTCCTTTAAAGTTTCAGCTTTCATTTCTGTGATTTTTTCTGTATGTCCTGCTTTCTGCTAAGCCACAGGTCTTAATGATCTCCATGTTTTCTTCTGTGGGTTACATACCTAGCAGGCTGGGTTCCTCAGGCATTGCAGGAGCTCTGAGAAGCTCCCAGAAGACCAAAACCAGTAACCACATAATGAGCAGCTCTGTACAACGGATGAAAAATTATTTTCAAAAGCTATTTCTTATATATCCATTTGGTCTGGCATTTAATAGATGTGTAGTGAGTATAGATTTAAGTGGGATGCAAGGTTTTGTTCATATAATTTTTCCGAGTAAGATGGAAGACCAGATTTGAACTTGGGTCTCAGCCCAGGCTTTTTCTTATCCTAACCATTTTCTCAATTTACTGCAGTGATAAGCAGTGGAGTAAGTGCTGCCTTAAAAATTTTAAATTAAAGCTACATATAGGTGAGGATATAGTCAAAAACAACACTGGAAATATTAAATAAGTTGAGTGGGAGTTACTCTTTATTATGTCTCACCTCAAATTGTAGGGCATTCAACAAAATTCTTAAATAAAGCATTAATTAAAAAACAAAGATTTGTGAAACTGATTTCCAAAAGATCTTAGAGACCACAGAAGTACTAATTATATCAAGTGTTAGACAAATTTATGAGATATAAGTCCAGCACTGGCTGTGAAATGCACAGGTTGGGAGTGCAGACCTCCGAGGGAATGACTGGTCCAAAACTGAGTTACCCAGAGGAAGAACACACTCAGTGTGTCCTCATTGCTACACTCCCTCCTGTAATATCATCACTGCTGCTAGACTTGGAGGGATTTTTAGACTGAGTCCAGCTTTTGGTTTATTTTTAAAAATAAGGTATTCTGATATGGTTCTCATTGAATCTCTTCCCTCAGAATTGTTGCACTTTACATGGATTATTTAAGCATTTTTTTTAAGCAAGGACTGTTTTGGATGTTCATCTGCCAGAAAAGACCCTACTCTGATTCTAGAGTTATTTTCACCTTTTTTTTAACCTTCTAGCTTATTGAATATGTAATCTCTGTGAAGTTGAACATTTTTAAAGAAAAAAGAACAACTTGCTGCAGAATGTAGCATGATAGTTCTGGTGTTTTTCTGACTGTTGGACATTTAAAGGTTTCCTAGGTCCAATTCATGCCTTTTGTGAAGGGGTAGATAAGTACGTGGAGAGGAGATAAGGCCACTTGTTGAAAAAGGAAAACTGGAAGGAAAAAAATCTAAAAAATCTAATTTACAAAACGCTAAATTGTTGATCAAATTCAGATCTAATTCATTTTATCACCAGTAGAGCTGTAGAGTGTTTTGAGGAGGGGGGGAGGAAATGAGTGTGGGTTTGTGGCGTTTGCATTAGAGAAGGGCTCGCTCTGGTGGCTGCTGGCAGCACAGCTTCAACAGCAGCACTTGGTCCTCTATGCCTGCTTTGAATATGTTATTTTGGGTATCGTATTTTCTGTTGGTATTTTGAACAATTTTTTTTTTAATTTCATGTTTTCACACATATAGATGTACATGGACTGTAAAAACAGACACATCGATGTGCTGCTAGCACACTGCAAAGGCAAGTACCAGCTTACAGCAAAATTTTTAACATGACGGTTTATATATCCTCACTACCTTATGAGTGCTCATATGTCTGTTTTATTGCAGCTTCCTTGATAAAAGCAATGCAGTATGGGGGAGATCTCGAATCTGAAAATCCTGTCTTCTTTGAATCTATTTCTTCGGCAATCGGAGCTGTTCAAATTCACAAGGTGAGACTTACAGCAGGGGTAGGTGAAGTCCAGAGAGCTTCTTGGATGGTCACAGCAATTTGTTAAAGTCTGGGGAAATCTTATTTACCCAGTGAACCTTTTGTATAGAAATCTTTTATCTGTCTACTCTCTACAGCTGGTCCTCAGCCTCTGGACTGCAGTTATCAAGTTTTTCCTGCTAGCACTCTCTTCCTGTCACGGTCTCTCCTTTAGCGACTTCTTGGTCTTCTGCGCTAGATCCAAAGGTGCTGTGTTGTGATGTGTTAATCTGATGTCGTCTAGAACACTCTCAGTGAGGCAAATTAACTCGCACCCAGTTCTGCATTACTGAAACTACAGTCCTCCATTCGTCTGCCCGTGTTGCTTAAAGCTACTTCATACAGCATCCCACTGTTCTCACCAAAATGCTTCTGGATCCTTACCAAGTTTGTTTCAAGCTAATAAGCTTGTCTCTGCCCTGCACTGCAGCGTGCTGTGTTGGCTCACTGGTGGAAATAGGGGAGATGAATTGCCTGAGGTGGAAGAGAGAGCTCGAGGGAGAAGGAAGGCTTGGCTGAGGAATTGAGGCTTGAGGCTTAAAGATGGATCTGCTTGAACACGTGTTTACTGGCTCAATAATTCTTGCATTCTCTGTTAAAAGGCTGTAAACCTGGGCTTTCCTCATAGACCCTGTGAGCCTTTTCCATTGTGATCCCAGTGTAACTGAGCATGCATTACAAGTAGTGTGCTTTCCCATGGTTTTATTCATGATTCCAAACATGGCTAGAGCTTGGCTCAGAGCCTTCTCCAAGAGACATTAAATGCATCATGGTCTGTGGTTTTGGGTTTTTTCCCTCCACTTTATATGTTACTAATTAATTTAGAGTTGCCTATGGATAAAAGAATTTTCCATTGATTTATCCAGATAAGGTGAGTTGGCATAGTTGGTCTAGCGGATTGACCAGAAAAACTTTTTTTTCAGAGATCTTCACCACTTTTCATTTTGTTACCCTGAAAAAAAAAAAAAAA